ATTAAATTAGATTGATTTGAAAAACATCAAATGGCAGTCTAAAAATTAATCTTACTTTAAATCAGACCCACCCAATCACAACCCTCAAGATTTTGTCACATTCCTTTCAGCCCTTCTTCTTTGTGCCCTTATCAAAGGTAAGAGGGTGTTAGGATTGCAGGAACTGTAGTCTTTAATGTTGTTAGTTTTTAAGGTGCTCCTGGACTCTTACTCTTTTCTACTGCTACAAACAGATTAACATGGCTACCCATCTTGATCCGGAACTGGAGGGTATCTGCTCGTGGCATGACCACTGCTGTGCATGCTCAGAAGCCTTACAGTTCTAGCGAGACCTCTCAGTGCTTCCAAATGATTTTAGAAAACTTGCAGATGGGCCAGTGGAGAGAGAGCAGACTCACAGCAAGGCTGAAAAGGCTAATTCTAGGATCAGCCTGGACTTGGGGGTAAATGGGATGTAAAGGATCCAATCCTAAATCGATTCACAGGAGGATTCACAGGTTTGATTCACAGGTGCTTTGGATTCCACAATCACACTAATTTTATAGACATGCAACATTCCTTCTCGCTCCTGGAAAGCTTGGAAAGTTGGATGGGAAATACAGAAGAGAAGCAGGTGTTCTTTCTCTGGGAATGAGAAGCAAGGTCATCAGGAAACCTACAGGACATAAACAATACTATTTCTCTTCTTTCTGTCTCTTAGCAGCTCTAGTAAGTAGAACAGGGGATGGTGGATGTAATTTACTCAGTCATAGTGACCCAGGCAACACATGAAGCAAGATTTTTCCCCCCTATGGCAAAACACAACATATTCTGTTCTATTAATTTTGAGGTTTCTTCCTTCCCTGTGTTCTAATGTGATTTACCAGCTGAAAATATTTGGTTATTTACTTCATTCATACCCTGTTTTTCTCCCAAGTGGAGACCCAATCTAGTTTATATCATTCTCCTCTCTTCCATTTTGGATTACTTAAATGGCCTATTTCTAGCATGAGGATTCAATTCCTCCAGAAGACCATTACACTCAAGGCTGAGAGCCAAGCTGCACTTTTGGACAGATTGTGATACACAGTTCCTGAAATTATCCCATTGCAGACAGTGGTATGAGTGGATTTTTTCTGCTTAAATGCTTCCCTAGTTAAAGAAACATCCTTCACATAGAGAACTAGCACATAGTGAAAGAGAGTTTGTTGACAACCACAAGTTTGCTTGACTAGTAATCAAAACCACAAGTTTGAACCTCTGGGCTATAGGCAATATACAGTTTAATGTGACAGACATCACTTCTGAACCATTGAAACCCCATCCTAAGGTATTTCTAGTCCTCTGTAGTAGTTAGCAATCTAGTCCAAAAATCTCTCTGACATAAGATCAGTTCATATGATGCCATCCAGTATGATCTTTTTGCCTGAGAACAGCTGACATCCAAGAAGGCGAGTTAGAGTTAAGGATAGTGCAAGAGCGAGGTGTGATACTTGCCCTTTAAATCTTACCCTCCCTTGTTTTCTGTTTCCTCTTCGTGACACACAGTTATGTAAAAGAGATGAACTTACCCTGGTTGCTAGGTTACTGAGAGTTCTTCCTCACTAAGGGGACCACAAATATAACCAAGAGTTCATTCAACAGGGAAGGAAGTGCATCTCCATTAAGGAGGAGATAAGTGAGAGTGCATGTTTATGTATATGTATGGCCCCACCCAACAAGGGTCATTTGATGCTTATCAACATCCCAGTGCACATCCAAAACAAGTCATCCAAGGATCAAGGTTAACGCTGCTGCCATTACACCATGTGAAGTGGGGACACTGTAGTTTTCATGTGCATTTTCATTCACTTTCTCTGGCCACTGGAGTTGCCTATAACCATGTGTTCATCAGGACCATACAATCTAAGTTATAACATATTGCTAAATGTTGCTACTTCTCCTGAGGTTTCAAGGATAAGGTAGATCAAAATCTAAACATATGCCTTAAACATGGATTCTGTAGCTGTGGATCTAAAATATTCATGCAGGAAAACATGAAACCTGAAAGTGAAAAAAGATGTCCAAGCCATCAATGTATCTATGTTACTGTGTCTGAGTAGATCAAACATGCAGCACTAAAAGTTTTAGAGGAATTCTTTGATTTGACTTACTCTTTTGACAAAACATAATTCCAAGTGAATGACTCGTGATATATGGACCTTTTTTCTGGTGGTGGAGGAAAGTACCATCAAGTCACAGCTGACTCATGGTGACCTGTAGGGTTTTCAAGTCAAGAGATGTTCAGAGGTGGTTTGTCATTGCCTGCCTCAGTAACACAACCTTGGTATTCCTTGGACGTCATTTTTTTCTAGGTCCTTAAAATTAATTATTTTTAAAACATTTTCCATTTATACACAAACATTAGAGCTTATAGATCATATAAAAGTAAAATAAAGTATTATATATATAAAATAAGCAAGAAACAAAAACTATAACAAGGATTAATATGTCAGAACTGTAATTTAAAGGACCTTTAAATAACAAAAATCAATCCTGGAGTTAATTGAGGGCCAGGTTTTGCAAAGTTCATCCACCCTAAGCTTGTTGGCCTGAAGCAAGATGTGACTGCTCTAAGGGATTTCTAAAGGTGTTTCCTTTCTTGTGCCATAGGTTGTCATTCACCCCTTCAAAACCATTGAGCTCCAGATGAAGAAGAAGGGCTTCAGGATGGAAGTTGGGCAGTACATTTTTGTCAAGTGTCCTGCCGTGTCCATGTTGGAGTGGCACCCTTTCACACTGACTTCTGCCCCTGAAGAGGATTACTTCAGCATTCACATACGTATTGTAGGGGACTGGACAGAAGGCTTGTTTAATGTTTGTGGATGTGACAAACAAGAATTCCAGGATGCCTGGAAGCTGCCAAAGTAGGTCCAAAATATAATCGCTATGAAAATTTTGCAAAAAAAAAAAAATTGTTAGCTTAAGCTGACATAGTGCAAATAGTGACATAAGCTACTGATTTATTTATATTCTGCCTTTCTCCTCAATGGATTTATAAGACAAAAGTTTATAATGCAACCCCCGATTATAGTTGATATTCAGTCTTATCCCTCAAAGCACTGTCCTACTTCCCAAAAATATTCTATTGCTTTACACTGCCCAGTGTGTGGTTATGTAGACCTACAAAGTCCCCAGGGGCAAAAAAGGTCCATAGGATGCTATTGCAAGACAGCAAAACAGAATCTTGCATCTTCCATACTTACCACCATCAAATTGAACAATGGTTCATTTGTAGCATACAAGGGCAACCGCCATCAAATTGAACAATGAGCTCTATATGGTTCATTTGTAGCATACAAGGGCAACCTGCCCTAGTACTGGGTTTGAGTTGTAGTACTGGTAAAAGGTAAAGGTAAAGGTAAAGGTTCCCTTGCTCAAAAGCCAGTCGAGTCCGACTCTAGGGTTGCGGTGCTCATCTCCGTTTCAAAGCCGAAGAGCCAGTGCTGTCCGAAGACATTTCCATGGTCATGTGGCCAGCATGACTAAACACTAAGGCGCACGGAACGCTGTTACCTTCCCACCGAAGTGGTACCTATTTATCTACTTGCAATTTCTTGCTTTCGAACTGCTAGGTTGGCAGAAGCTGGAACTAGAGATGGGAGCTCACTCCATCATGCGGCAACTCAGGTCTCAAACTGCTGAACTACTGACCTTCCACAGCCTGCAGTTCAGCGTCTTAACCACTTGAGCCACCGCAGCTCCTTAGTAGTACTGGTACAAGGAAGTGAATTGCAACAGTACTATAATCCTTGTGCAAGAGTCCATCTGTATTCAGCCTATCAGATAGGATCATAAGGTAATTCAGCAGTTTTTTAAAAAATCTGCATCACAGTAACTGAAGTTATGAACTCATGAAGCTGACATACTGAATCAAGTATAACAATGGAGAGTATCACGGAAAGAAGTAGAAACAAGGATAAGAAACAACTGTGAAACAATAAGTAAGCAATGTAAACAGCTATATTAACATCAACTTATACCATCCATAGGTTCAACAGAAAGACTGTTAGTAAGACGCAACACTCAGTTCAATCATACTCCAAAAAAGGTACAATGAATCCTGCCAGCCTTGTGCCTGAAAGCAGCTGTCAATGACATTTTGTGAGATGTGGCAAGAAATGGATGCATAGGAATATATTCTGTTCTGTTAGTTGCTGTAGATTTTCCGGCCGTGGTCTTGGCATTGTAGAACCTGACGTTTCACCAGTAACTGTGACTGGCATCCTCAGAGGAATAACACAGAAAGATGGAATACTCTCTGTGTCAAGGTCTACAATGCCAAGACCACGGCCACACAACCCGGAAAAATCTACACCAACTAATGAACTCCGGCCATGAAAGCCTTCGACAACATATTCTGTTCTGTCTTTGATAATGCAGTGATGGAAACTAACTCAGAGGTTGGCAGGATTCATTATCCAGAATGGGAGTGTCCCTGAAATTGCGCAGCGTCCTCCTGCAAAGTAAACAATTTGTTATTTATCACATCTCTACGTTTGAAGCTGGGCTATTTGGAAAAGTCTCTATTTACATATTCTGAATGGACTAATTGGTGGCACAGAGCATTTCAAATATCAGTGAACTTTATTTTTCATTGTACCTTTATTGGACTATGATTGAACTGAGTGTTGCACCTTACTAAGAGTCTTTCTATTAAACCTATGGATGATTTTTCTGTGGTATAAGTTGATGTTAATGTAGTTGTTTACATTGCTTACTTATTGTTTCAGGGTTGTTTCTTAATATTGTTTATACTGAATCAGAGCACTGCGCCAAGTTCAGTCATGTCTACTCAAACTGACAGCAGCTCTCCAAGGTCTCATGTGGTGATCTTTCAGATCGCCTTGATCCTTTTAGTTGGAGATGGGACCTTCTGCATGCCAGGTAGATGCACTTCTAATGAGCCACAGCCCGTGCCCCCCATGTCTTTCTCCTTGCTGGCTCATAAAAATATTTTCCTCCAAAATGGGAATGTTGTGAGAAAGTCAATATGAGTTTGTTTCAACTTACTTCCCCATTTAGCTTGAGTTTATTTTGTGGTTTGTGGAATCCAGGGCTATTTTTGGGCAGGAACGCACAGGAACGGAGTCCCGGCTGGCTCCCGAGTTGGCCACACCCAGCAGGAACTCATTAGCATAGTAGGCCACACTCAACAGCAGGAACTCATTAGGATTGGCTACATTAGGGGTGTGTGGTCTAACATGCAAAGGGTTCCTGCTACAAAAAAAGCCCTGGGTTTTGACAACAAGCAAGGTAAACAGAATAAGAAGCAAAAGGTGGGTGTGGCTGGATGACCACAGTTCTGGTAACGTGGGGGTGTGGCCGAACATGCTAATGAGCTTTGCTGTCAGGAGTGTGGCCTAATATGCTAATGAGTTTCTGCTGTTGGGTGTGGCCTATTATGCTAATGAGTTCCTGCTGGGCTTTTTCTACAAAAAAAGCCCTGGTCCAAACCATAGCCCATCCTTAGAAGGAGACTACGCACTGACTTCTTAAATAATCAGGACTGTCGTAAGTACCCAGGACATTCAAGAGCCAGGACTACCAAATGGAATTGACCACTGAATGTTAACTGTATCTTTATCACCTCTTACCAACCCTTATAGAATGGCTGTAGATGGACCTTTTGGCACTGCTAGTGAAGATGTTTTCAGTTATGAAACGGTGATGTTGGTTGGAGCTGGCATTGGAGTCACCCCATTTGCATCAGTCCTCAAGTCTGTATGGTACAAATACTGCAATGATGCCATTAACCTAAGACTCAAAAAGGTATGACCTCAAATATCTCCACACTTGCTTCCTAACATTTAACAGTGCACGCAGAGGAAGATTGGAACTTGTTTTGGATCCCAACTGGTTCAGGAGAGAGATGGGATTGTAAATATTTTAAATAGATAAATAAATACAAACCCTTGATCCATATAGTATCAGGTGGGTGGCCATATTGGTCTACAGTAGAAGAGCAAGATTTGAGTCCATTAGCACCTTAAATTAGTGATGGCCCCGATGAGAGGACTTTTGACTTTTGAAAGCTTATACCCTGGAAATCTTGTTGGTCTTTGTGGTGGAACAGTCCTGCTCCAGGCAGCAGGCCCTGTTCCACCCTGCCCTCCAAGGTTTTCCCAACACCTGGAGAGGCTTTTCTTTCTCTCTCAGGTAATCACTGCCACCACCTGACCTTTGTAAGGAATTGCCTGCTGGGAGGGTCAGGACTCCCAGCTTCCCTTCCAAGTTCTGAGGCCTGGCCTCTGTATCTCCCACTGCCCAGCACCTGGTCACCACAGGGACTGCTTACTGCCTTGTGTGCCCCTGGAGGAATAGCCGCTTGCCAACTGACTGCCTTCCTCCTGGCATTCCTTTTAAAATGGCATGTCCAAGATGGTGGAGGTCTATGTGGTGCAAAAAACCACTACCAGCATCAAAATTTATAATTTATTAAAAAGAAAATGTTCACAAGCATACTTTTAGCACAGCACCAGATTAAGCAAGGAATTCAGAAGAAATGGGTAAAACACAATTCCTCTGTCCCTCTCTCTATGCATGCCACATCAGATGTTAAAATATAGAACAGGCCCCTTAGCTTAGAATGTTATACATCTCTACAGAGTTCCCATTTCCTTGCAACTTCCCTCTGCTGTGTAGGCCAGCACATTGTAATGGCCACCTACTCCAGACCTCAGTTAAGAGTTCTGTCTGCTCTGATGGACTCAGCACCAAAGAGAGCTTCCTTCTTGCTTCCAGGAGTTTTATCTTCTCCCTTTCCCTTCCCACTGACTTGGTCAGGCCAGGTCAAGGAAGCTTTTCCTGAAATCTCCAGAAATTTCTTCCGGAAGTCTTTCAAGTCTTAGGTTACAGTCACACACACCAGAAAAAATGGGGGGAGGCTATTTCCTCCAGGGGAATTTGACCCACAGTTGCATTATCACACTTCCCTTTGAAGCTGTAGGCGCAGTCTGTCAGTGCGCTATCAGACACAACGGTGGGTGAGTCTTTTTTTGCATGTGTGCCATTTTGTCCCCATGCTCTTAACTGAGGGATCAATGAATCGCACCTCCGCACCAAGGGCTCCCTATGGAGTTTGTGATGATGCGCATTCTGCGAAGGGGGAAAAAACCAACAGCACGGAGTCAGGATGGCCTGATCAGACCATCCTGATGCCACGAGAGCGCACTGGAGCGATCAGACACAGGAAAGTCCATCCGTGGCCCATCACAACCCGTTAACTACCGGATTTTCCCCAGTGTCTTTTAACTCCGCTTCTGCGGTGAAGCAGAACAGGTTGCTGATGGCTGCGGGGTGCTTCCCAGATGTTGTTGTCTGATTGCGCCCTTTAAATTTGCCCGGCATTCGCACCTATGTCGGGTCTAATTGTGCGTATGATCGCAGCCTTGATTCTTTCAAGTCTCTGTTCCCTGCTTGGGCAGGGGGGACAGGACTGGCCCATCCAATTGTCTCTAGCTAGACCTATTAGCATTTGTATGAAGGTGGACTGAAGTAAATCTGGAAAGCAATTTGAACTGACTTCCTCCCCTTCCTGCCTGTTCTCTGCCCAGAGACAGAGAAAAAGCTTAAAACTCAGAGTGAAGGTTTTGCTCATTTCAAACCTCCAAAGAAAACATGCATTTCTTCACACCCTTTAAGGTGCTGTTGGACTCAAGTCTTGCCCTTGATCCAGATGTATCTGCATGCAAAAGGTGGCAATACGGCATGACCTTTTTTTGGTGCAGATGCATTCATATCTACCTCCATGAATAGAAAGCCATAGCAATGTCCTCAACTCTATCTCAGTCAGCAGTGGGTTCTCCCAAAGAAATATATTTGTATTCAAGGACTTTATGAATCTGTCACTCCAATGTCATGAAAAGTTCATTATTATAGGCTAGTAAACGTCATGTGTTTTTTTTAAATAACTCAATGCACCATCCGTTATGTCACCAGAGTTTAGAAGAAGGCAAAATGAAGAAAGATGGAGCAATGCTTTCTCAAGCTTTAAAAGCATCCAGCTCAGGGATGAACTGGGTCATAAAATGGACCAAAAGCAGGGTTGCCCCCACAAGGGCTGCTCACTCAACCTGCAACAATGACAAATGGTGCAGCTTGCTCATTGCCTCCTCCTGCATTGTTGCTGGCCAGGTCTGAGTGGTCCCTGCAGTGGTGGTGACAGGTGGAGCACCCTTTTTCTTCTGCCTCAGGGGAGGCCCACTGGACCTGGATCTGGCAGCAGCAGTGTGGGAGGAGGCACTGGATGTCTCCATCTGCAGTACCAACAGTTGGGTGTAAGCAAAGGAGCCCTTCTGGCAGAGATGACGGCCAAATTATTCTCTCCTTTGCTCAAATTGACAGCCACCCTCCAGGACAGTATTTCACCAGGAAATGGCCAATCTGTTCATTATCCAGCTCCTCAGTTAACCTCAGATAAGCAAATTAAACCACCTAGCCTAACAGATAATCTAATGTGTTCAATTTTATCCTTTCCAGATCTATTTCTATTGGCTCTGCAGAGACACGCATGCCTTTGAATGGTTTGCTGACCTCTTGCAGTCACTGGAGAATCAAATGCAGGATAGGGACAATGCAGCATTTCTCAGCTACAATATCTATCTTACAGGCTGGGATGAATCTCAGGTAAACGGTTACATTTTTGCTCTTCAACATTATTTAGACTGCTGAATGGAAATAGTGCTTAATGTGTTGGATGCTCTGACCGTCTTCAACTGGCTTCCATTCAGCAGAAGGCTTTCCCAATCACAAGAAGACTGGTACTTAGAGGAACGAAATTAATTGTATCCAATGCATTGTGTTGTGAAAAATTTGTACTTATGAAGATTCAGAGATGTGCTCAAGGACTTAAAGATAATATCATTTTTCTTGGAAAAGGAATTAGCAGTTTAAAAAGGTTTCTAAGGCTGCCCCCTGCTACTGTCTCCCAGCACTGGTATTCAGAGCGTTATGCTAATGAGTTCCCCTAGCTCTTTTTCTACGAAATGACCCCTGATTCAGAGGTTTGCTGCCTCTGGATATGGAGGCTCCTTTCAGACACCATGGCTAGTAGCCATTGATGGATCTCTCCTTCATGAATCTGTCTAACTCCCCTTTAAAGCTATCTATGCTCATGGCCACCATTACCTCCCCTGGCAGTGAATTCTATAGGTTAATTATCCATTTATCTGTTCTGAGCCTATGTACCAACTCTTTCATGAGGTGCCCCAAGTTCTAGTATTATTGGAGAAGGAGAAAAAAGCTCTCTTTATCCAGTTTCTCCACCCCATGAGCAGGGAAAATGACTGTTGTGTGGACAGGACCAGGAAAATCTAGACCTTCTTACCAGCTTGGCTTTACTTCAGTTTCCTCCCAAACTTCTAGCAAAACAGGTTTGATCGGGAAAGATAGCAGAAACACTGAGGAAAACCTGAGTGGTGCATGAAATGTGGGGAAGCGGGGGGGACGGGGACCCTAACAGCATTGACCCTGAAGCAAATCACACGTGTGGAAATGTCATTAGATTCAGTTAGACAATGCATCCAGGTGGGGTTGCAAAATATCAAGGCCCTTCCTCAGTTCTTTGCCTCTCATAATAGCTCATTTGCTGGAATTCAATGTCATTCTGCTGTGTGTGTCAGCTGTACAGCCCTGTTTCTTTGGAAGTGCCTCTCAGCAGTCTGCCATCAACCTCAGTGGATGCTACACTTTTCTTGTACCAAAATATAGCTTGAACCTTTTTTTCTTCCTCTAGGCTACTCACTTTACAGTGCATCATGATGAAGAGAAAGATGTGATCACTGGTTTGAAACAGAAAACCTTGTATGGCAGACCAAATTGGGAAAATGAGTTCAAAATGATTGCAAATCAGCACCCCAGGTAAATTGGTTTCATGGCACTTGCAGAAGACTATTAATTTTATTCTGTGAGTGAGTCACTGTGTTTCACTATGTGTTGATTCTAAAGGATTCAGCTGATATTCAGTCCTTTAGTTTTTGAGGCAAGCTTGAAAAACCAGGCTTACATAACAAGAAATTTCACCAGGGAATGACTGGGAAATAACCAGTTTTGCAATGACACACATGAGATAATCTAAATCCACCCTGCTCTTTTCATGTTTGACAAGGAGAGCCATTGCATATGACAGTAGGAATTCTATGAATCCATCCTGCTAGCAGTGGAGCCTCCCTGTGGCACAAAGAGGCCTACTCTGGTGGTACATATCTCTTCTGCCAGTGCAAGGCTCTTTGTGCTGGAGGAAGGCTCTGTGCGAGCAGAAGACATTCATAGGATCTAGTTCATTGTGGTTTGGAGAGACAGACATGCTTGAATTCTGACCGTAACAGTATGATCATCAGCACAGTAATCCGGAATGATTACGTTTTGAAAGGAATTCTGTGTCTGACCAATTTCAGTGGGAAATCACAAAATTTTGATGGGAAATCACAAAATTTTGTATGGATCATATTCAAATTGATTAAATGGCTTTAACTAGTCCTCACAAACAGATGTATTTCATTTAACAGGGTAGCAACTATCCTGGTGGGAATTTCACAATATTATGCCACAATATTATGCCACATTCACATAGAAGTATTATTAATTTCAATGGGATTTACTTCCCAAAAGCTGTGTTAAAGTACTGCAGGATGACATTATCAGTGGTCTTGACCAAGGTTTTGAGATAAGGTTAAGAAATGTTTCAGTCATTGAACCTCGTAACGATGTATGAGATTGTAGTTTGGATGCAGACTAACTTTCCCAGTGGTGGAATGGAACTTTCCTCCCTCTTTCCTCTCTTCCTCTCATAGCAACTTGCTACTATCTAGGAAATGCTGCCCCAAGTGGAGAGGGGGCCCTGAGGAATTACATGAGGGATGTCTGCAATGTGAAGGGGGCAATGGTAGAAATTGCCAGTTCAGTCTGGATCCAACCATGTACTTTTAAACCAAGAAATAAATACTAAAAATTGCTGAAACATTGGATCATGGGATAAATAGTCCTCTTGATGACTACAACAACATATGACAGGATATATGATCACTTTATATATGTAGCTTCTTTGTTTTGCTAAATCAAATTGCAGTCCCACTAGATCACAGTATGTTGCTTTTGATGCCAGTGGGCTGTATTTATTTATTTAATTTGTATCCCACCCTCCCCACCAAGGCAGGCTCAGGGCAGCTTACAGAAACACACACACACAAACACACACACACAGCAAAATCTTTACAGTTTAAAAACACTAACATCACTTGTCAGACAACCTTCATGGGTGTTTTTGGTTCTAAAGTGTTCTAATGTTGGGCCTTGTAATAGAGGCTCTCAGTATCACAACTGTAGTTAACTTTCTTCCGTAAATTGCTGAAACAATATTTAGCACTTGCAACTTTATCCTTTCTTTTCCCAACAGTTCAAGGATTGGGGTTTTCCTATGTGGACCTGAAGCCTTGGCTACAACCTTAAATAAGATAAGCATTAGCAATTCAGAAGCTGATCCCCGTGGAGTACACTTCATATTCAACAAAGAAAATTTTTGAAGGTGCCAGTCCCCCAAACAACAAAATAAAATGGCTATGTTTCAGCACTATGGATCTTAATACAGATTACCATCTCGCTAGAATTTTGCCCCAGTGTAACTTAAAGATTCTATGTCTTGCTTCTGTTAGCTTTTGCATTGTGTAGAATTTAGCAAATGACCTATTCCCTGGCTTTAAAATGATAAAGCTTTCCCCAGCCTTGTTAATTTCATCAGATCCTGAAAATGGTGGTGATAAGCAGCAGCAGATACCCAGGACTGTAGAAAAGGTGGAGGATGACTAAAGTCATGTGCTGCACCTATTACTAAGCAACCCAAACAGTACTTCTATACAGGAAGGAGAAAGTAGTAAAAGTTAAAAAGCCATTCCTAAATATCCAACACTCTAGGAAACTTGTAGATCGCCAACTACATGAGCTTCAGAGAGCACTTCTTCTCACAGGTGATACAGAAGTGCAAGAAAGTTGAGTCTAATTACTTGTACCTTTACTATAGCGAAAATACTTATATTGCAACATGGGAAAAATAAATGCCCACCTCCAGTAAAATTATTGATTGAAGACCATAGAACTCTTATCAATATTTGAAGCATGGCACATAGATAACAATTGCATATGGGCTTATCTTTAGATATTTATAGAAACTTATGTGTAGATCTGCCACCACTGATGTTATATTTTTGCCTCTAGTTGAACAGTGAGGTTAACAGCTAGCAGCTTTATACACAGGAAAACTCAGCCTCTCATATTAGATGTCCTTCCTTATCCATTTTCTAGTCTTAGTTATTCATAAGAATGATGCATGATGGCCCTAATTTTTTGAGGTTATGATATTGAATTTATGTTCTTGTTTTGTACATAACATTCTCAATAAAATGGTCTGATTATTAGAGCCTACTTTTGTGAGGTCCACAATAGTGAAGGGATATCAATTTTTGATAGGAGAGCAAATACATTTCAATATGTGGGTTGTTCAGGGACTTGGCATTTGCTTAGTGTGGCTCCTAGTGTTTAAATGTGAGTTAGATTGCATTTTTAAATAATTGCAACAGTTTCATAGGATTCATATGACTGAGAATGACTACTAAGACAATAAGCTAAAAAGTCCTAACCACATTACTTCCCTTGCCTTTCTGCCTTCTGATTCATCATGCAAAAAATTAACTAAAAGCCTCTTGCTTAACAGATCTCTAGTTCCTATTTTCAAGGGTGATTCCAAAATGATAGCTCAGGATGGGTAGTCATAGTAGTCTATCTGTAGCAGTAGAAAAGAGCAAGAGTCCAGTAGCACCTTAAAGACTAACAAAATATGTGGCAGGATAGGAGCTTTTGTGAGTCACTGCTAGTGACTCACAAAAGCTCCTATCCTGCCACATATTTTGTTAGTCTTTAAGGTGCTACTGGACTCTTGCTCTTTTCTACTGCTCCAAAACGATAATCATTGCTATTGCACCATGTTTATAAATAGGTTCTCTTTTAAAATGTCCAAAGTTCTTTTGACACAATATTACTGTTTGTCTTTTAATAATACTGTGGCAGGTACTACAACGGGGATTTTCCGATTTACATGGTACATTCATATTAATTTCAATAGATGAATAATCATGCTAAAGTTGCACTTTTAAAAGTTCTGTGGTTCTGTGTATGTCAAAAGTATGCGTAAAACCTTAAAACAGTTAAAAGTGGGCATGCTTCTTTGTTTAGTCACAGAAACCACGCTGGATGCAGAGTAACTTCCAACTTTGCCACATACTTCTTTCTCATTTGCATCTGTCTCAAGTGAGCAAGGCTGTACAGTCATATAACATGTGAACTATTAGTATCACAATCTAAACTAAATAAGACCCAATATACTTGCTTACAATACTTCAGATATATGGGCCATTCTGATCACAAATCTAAAAGTGGAAGTGTGAAGCTTGTTCATCTGCCAGAAAGTGTCACATATAGAAGAAAGGCAAAACGATTACCAAACGACTCAGGGGAAAAACTTATCAGCTTCATAATAACCCATGTCTACATTAATCACTGTTCAGTTCAGAGAAATGGAAGCTGTTTTCCTGCATGATGCTAGATATGGAATAGCTTTGCTGCTGTTCAAAATCTGGAAATCTTAGCAAAGGAATAAATGAAATGCATTTATCTTACTTTAGTGCAGGAGTTTTGAGTGTATCTGTACTACTAATATTTTGCTTGCTCATAAAAATAAATTGCTATTTGATCTATTTGTTCCATATGAAGCCAAAGAACATAGCATTAAGCAGTGTAGGTAGGGTGAAGATATTTAATAAATGTATGTCATCCAGTGTAAGGTGTGTTGCAAATGCCCAAAGTTACATTAGCATGAAAGGTACAACTGAACACAGTTGAGCTCCCTACATTTCTGTTTCAGAATTTTATTAATAAATGGGAAATGTAGGAAAAATCATTGTGCATTCCCTTGTAATCCATTGAAAGAGTGTTGCACAATGTATTTCTTCACCCAATGTATGATTAACTTAAGGAATTCATGTTTGAAAGCTATGATGAAGGCCACTAGCCAGCAGCAAAATATTTTTTTTATTTTATAGAATACATTTATAAGCCTACTTTTCGCCCAAACAAATGGGATCCAAGGCAAGCAACAAAATAAAACCAATTAAATAAAAATTAAAAATTAAAAACTTCAGAAAATAAAA